TATATATATTATGGTTATATATATATAGGATGCATTGTTTTCCTGTTTCCACAGGTACCCCTGAGAGTGACACCGTGTGCAAGAGATGTCCAGAAGGATTTTTCTCAAATGAAACATCATCCAAAGCAGCCTGTCTAAAGCACACAAACTGTAGTGCACTAGGTTTCAAAATAGCATTGAAAGGAAATGCAGTTCGTGACAACGTCTGTCAGGAAAATACAGATACAGCACCTCAAAAATGTGGAATAGGTATGTATCATATTAAGGAAGAGTGCTCTGAAAACATACCTTTAATTACAGTTCAAATTAATGTATCAGCCTTTATAAAAATATCTAGCTAGTTAGCCATCTGCCTGCTATGGTGGTGGCCATAGTAGAGTTTTAATTATTGTAGGTCAGACCAAGTAGAACTCAGAGAGAGCAACAGCACTATAAAGACCACTTCTTAGTTTGTTTTTTAAGCATTTTTTTTCTTATCATCCTTGCTACTTGGGTTTTTTTTCAGAGACAAGCAGAGTAACAGAGATCAGAACAATTGACATATTCTCTTTCTTATTTCAGATGTAACCCTGTGCGAGGAGGCGCTTTTCAGGTTTGCTGTTCCTACTCAGCTCACACCTAACTGGCTGAACATACTAGCGGACAGTTTGCCTGGGACAAAGGTTAGCACAGAAAATATCGAAAGGATTAAACAAAGGCACAGTTCTCAAGAGCAGACCTTCCAGCTTTTGAAATTATGGAAGCAGCAAAACAAAGAACAGGATATGGTCAAGAAGATTATTCAAGGTACCTTATTTTGATAGCATGTGTATTAAAAGCAGCCTTCTAAATGGCATTTTAAAAATTGCTTGGGATCAAATACCTCCTGGTGACATGTTACGCTCTGAGGAGGACCTGCAGGGCTTAACTGAGATTTATTGATGCAGTAAGCACAGTGAAGTCGAGGGGAAGCAGGAAGAGAATTCAGCTTCTCCTGCTCAGTCGAGGACTGAATTCTTCCCAGACTTGTAGCCCCCTTGGGAGCGTGTGTGGTGTCACAGCCAAGATCCCCTTTTGAGACTGCACAACATATGACAAATTTTGATCAAGTGGGGAAAATGTTTCCCACTGTTACATCTGAGCAGTGGCTGTTGAGGTTAAAGGGAGCTGGATGCCTGCAACTGAGTGTGCGATTTGTTTTCTCTGAAGTGCAGATTGACAGCTCAGACTAGGACATCTATTCACAGAACGGGGACGCATGGGTGTGAGGAATACACAGATAGGCTTTCCCTTCTTTTTCCCTTCCAGTACCTATTTGTCATGCCAATTCACCACTTACTTTGTGCTGAATCTGCCAAGACAGTTGTCAAAGGTGAAACAGTGCTGCAATGTTAACACCAAGGTTTTCATGAGAGTCAGGCCAACTCTTTTCATGTAAGCCACCATCAAGAACTGCCACGTTCGAATGACCTTTTGTCCACTCAGAATAGATTTGAAAAATGCTGCAGAAATGTTTTTTTTTTTCCCCTCTCCTTTTTATTATGTATGCTTATGTCAGACTGTGAAGTGTCTAGAACACTTCAAAACCCAAAATGACTGTTTTAGCAAAGCTTGCCTACACATTTCTGAAGAAGAGCAAAATTTTCATTCACTGGAACCAAGTATTAAGAGTCCTATCACACACACAGAACATTTTGCAGCATAGATGAAACAGGCGTACAGCGATAAATACTTGCTATGAAGTTTGTCTGTAATTTGGAGCTGTTTGTATTTGCAAAGTTAATTAAATTCTTAAGTGCATTTCATAATTGGAGCCTAAAAAAAGCATTGCTGAGAGAATTATTTGAAATGAAGTAAAAACAAAATTGGGAAGGAATATTCACCTTGAAATTTTGGAAGTTTTTATGCAGGCCATGGTAAAGTTATAATGCATTGTACTTACCTCGCTTTTTGCTTTCTATAGATATCGATCTTTGCGAAAATAGTGTCTTGAAGAATATTGGCCACCCGAACCTCACCTTTGAACATCTCAACACACTGATGGCAAGCTTACCAGGCAAGAAGGTGGGAAAAGAAGATATCGAGCGTGCAATGAAACTATGTCAACCTACAGAGCAAGTTCTGAAGCTTCTCAATCTGTGGAGAATAAAGAACAGTGACCAAGACACCATTAAAGGTTTAATGTATGGACTGAAGCACTTGAAAACATACCACTTCCCAAAACGAACCATCCAAAGTCTGAAGAAGGTGATTAAGTTTCTTCACAGATTCAGGATGTATAGATTATACCAGAAACTCTTTTTAGAAATGATAGAGAACCAAGTTAAATCAGTGAAAGTAAGAAGTGTCTAATTCAAGATATTTTTCATTCTCCACTGACTATTTTCCCCTAATTACTGCCAGCAGTAATTAAACTGGAACGTTGTTTCCCTACGTTATGTCTTACTATTTATAGAAATGCCTGACTGGAATAGCTCTAAGTCTTTTGCAGAGTTTTTGGAGGGTTTTTTTTTAATAAAATCACTTTTGTAAAAGCTATTAACCTGTTGATAACACTAAGAGCCTGATTCTGCATTTTTGCACATTCAGAGTTGAAAAGCCCCACTATAGTCACTAGATGAGAAAAGAATGCCGGACCAGGCTCTACTACAGTATTTGCTATTTATATTCTTCGAGGAATAAACATTTTTGTTGTACATATTTATTAAGTTAAACAGAAATTGTATGAGATGGAATTTTCGGAAGAGAAATGAAAAGCACACTGTATATTTTCTAGTTAAACAAAAATGATCCCATATATTTTTCTGGCAAGATTTTGTAGCATGCTCTAAGAGTTATTAATTTCTTTACATTTTGTATTTAAAAAAGTATTATTGCTTAGTCTTATTTGTATAAGTTGTGGTATCTTTTGGTAGGGATGTTTTAATTTATCCAGTGATTTTAACTCAAATACGGTGAAAATATAGCGTAAGTGACCTGAATATTTAAATATTCTGTGAGGAAGTGAATGTACCATATTTAAGAAGCTGGATTTTTATATAGAATTTCATAATCTTATTTTATAAAACAATTAAATTTTTCATTTTACTTTTTGACTGGTGTTTTACTCTTGACTCTGGAGTAGGAACTAATAACAAAGATAGACCACGTGGATTTCGCACCTTACCTTGGGCTTGGCTCTCTGCAACTCCCTGTCTGGTCTAGTAGTTAATATGTGAGACAAGTAAATACTAACCAGCACTGGATTTTCATGGTCACTGTACAGGTGTAAAAGAAGGTAAAAAAGTATTAAACGTTCTAGTTCAGAGGGCCCAGACAGTTGCGATACAACCAATTACAAGCCCATAGACGCATTTGGCCCAGCATCACTCTTGGCCTGGTGTCATTCTTGGAGAGCTCGCAACCTTTGCCCTAACCACAGCTTGTAATTTCATGGAGGAAAGATGATGCACGGCCCTGACGGGCTTGGAAAGCTTCACATATTGCCACTATGTTTAAAGGAAGGGAGCACGGAGAGGTCACATTAAACAAAAAAAAAACCCATCATTAACCATTGCCCTCAGCTACAGAATGAGGCACCCGTAAAGAGATGGGCCCCAAAAAAAGGGAACAGGGAGTGTATGAGTGTTGTTATCAAAAGCTCACGTAATTTTAAGGACCGGTGGTCATTCGCAGTGCAAGCCAAAGGCTTCAGTGGCTGCGGAGTGAGGCTGTGCTCTTGGGTTTTTCGTTAAACCATGTGAACAGAGCTTGAGTATTCAACATATTCTTTTCCCTTGTGTAAAGGAAGAAAAAGCCATCAGCGTTTAGCCTTGTATGACAGAGATACCTCTGTTACAGATGAGAGGATCCTAAGCAAAAAATGAGAGAGATTCCTGGTTGATATGATAGGTGCTCATCAGAAGGGCTCTCCTTACAGAGAGTACAAATGGGACGTACTGCTTTAAAATACTTGGGTTTCATTTTTCACTGAATTCTCACATCACTTTTTGTATCAAAAGGAATAAACTCCCTTTTATATTTCGCATGCTATATATTAGCATCTCATTTATCAGTGTAGCTGACATGGTGCTGAACACACACACAAAAAATTCCTAGTTTTGTGTTGATTCATTTGAAATAATTTACATACTTTTAAAGCAGAAACTGTTTTCACATAGAATTAAAAGATGATAACAACAGAGTCTCAAATTTGCAACATAGAGACCAGGTGTTTCCATGACTCTGCCAGGTATGGAGGTTTGGGGTATTGTAGGTATTAAAATGAGAATAATCATACTGGCGGCGAAACGAAGAGGATCCCATACCCCTCTTCTGAACATTTCCATCCTAATCCTTTCTACATTAGCTCTGTTTAATACAACTGTTCAGCAATTGGTAGTATAGTTATAGTATCAAGTAGTAATGTAGTTAAAAAATGTATCGGTGGAATCACTTTAACAGAGCTATTGGCTAGAAAAAAGCACAGTTGCTTTTTAGTACGTGGTACTGTTTTTAATTTATACATTTATACTCCCATATTCCAACTAATTATATGTAACTCTCATTGTAAATAACACTAAATGGTTTGTGGTCCTTCATGAATGACAGTACTGAAGAAGCCACAGAGTATACTATGCTATAGCTACCATATGAACATGCTATACTTCACTGCAGTAGAGTATAGCCTCGACTGGATTTCCTGGGAAACTTTAGCATCAAACTATTACCTGTGCCTTTTAAAATAGGATCTTTTTTTTCCCCTTAAACATCAAGTTACACCTATTTAATGAATTCCACCTGTTAAAGCTGATTCAGCTAACCAGGTGCCCACGCTCAGGTAGACGTTTCTCGGCCAGTTTATGCCTCACTTATCAATTCAGCTTCGCTCAGCTGGAAGGAATCGAACACTTCACATCCTGAGCAGGAGACACTTAAACCGTATTCCCTTCCCCAAAGAGCCTCCAGCCCAAAATAGCCAAGACAAACAAAAGCGAGACCCAGGATAATGAGGGAGAGGGTGAGGCAAACAGAAAGTGGGAGGATTGCTTGGAAAAAAATGTGGGTTTGGGGTGGTAGTTTGTTTTTCAGGGAAGGTTGCAGGAGGAAAGAGGAGTTGTGCGACGGGCAGCAGGTGGGAGAGGGGTCCCCGTGTCTGCGGCACGGAGGGAGTGCGGCTGCGGGGAGGCAGAGGTGGGGGGAAGGAGGGAGGCGCGAGGGCTGGGGACAACCGGCCAGAGCTGGGCCTTGGGGGTGACACGGATTGGGATGCTGTGCTCGGGGTTCCCTGACCTGCCGGGGTACCAGTGCCTGCCCTTCTCCCAGCCTGGCTGTGGACCAGACTCAGGGAAGGCAAACGTTTTGCCAGCCCTGGCTAGCAGTGAGGCTGCCCCTGCCTTGGGGTGGAAAGGAGGAGAGGAACAGGGAGGAGAGAGGAGTGCTCCGTTGCCTCTGCTCCCTCCGCTGCTCCCGGGCAGGGGCAGGGTTTGTCCTGCCCTGTTGGCTTCTCCTCCACTGAGAAAAAGGAAAAGCAGTTTCAGGATATTTGAGGGAGACAGTGAGATGGACTTTAAGGCAGGTTCTTCAGCTGTCGTCTCTCCAGCCATGCTCTCAAAGACTGGAAACAACCCTCAGTTATCAAAAAATACCATGGGTTTAAAGCAGAACCTTATGATTTCAAAATCTTCTACAACCCCGATTTTTAGATCTTTTTTTATATGCACTTGGGTCCCAGCAAATACACCATGTTTTGGAGTAGGAGGGAAATTAAAGAAGAAACTAGTTATTAAGCTCTTTAATCATCTTTTTTTATGCTGTGCACATCACCAAGCAAAATAGATTCCATGTGACTCATGGATGTTCTCATAGTAAAATTACCAATCAGTACTATAGTCTGCTATAGACTGAACGTTTTAAAAATAAAGCCAGGTATTAGACTGCTTTTAAAAAGTTTAGAGAGCTGGATAACGAAGGTTCAAAGAACTGGCTAGGAATGTGCACATCTGTAGCCGAACACCACACACACACTCACACACACCGTACACGGTGAATACAACTTGTACTGGGGGCTTCAACGGGCTGCGGCGATTAATTCAATTCGGCCAAACCCTTCATTGCCCTCAGACACCCATCCTGCCTGTCCTGGTGCGGGACATCAACATTGCCACCTCCAAGGCAGAGGTATCTGGTTTGCATGTGAATCACCTTCAAAGTGCCCAATTTTTCAGCCTTAAAGTAATTCAAAACTGTGGCTCAGAAACAAGCAAATATTTATAGAAAAAAGAACCAGCAATTTCTGCAGACTATTGGAAACTATTCCATTTTGGACAAATATCAAATATAGGAAATACCCACCCTCCAAAATATTTCTTTGTTGAAATAACGTGGAGAACCAAAAAAATTGGAGAAAAATAACTGAAAAAAAAAGAGTTTTACATTTTTCTTCCTTCACCTTAATTAGACGGTAGAACCGATATTGGCAATAAGCTCAGTAGTGAGGAGCGATAAAAATATCTACAAAGTCAAGGCTGTAGTCGTTGTGTAAGTGACTATTCCCAGCGGAGTCAAAGGACAAATCTATGGGTAAGGGCTGTGAGAATGGACTCAGAATTGCAAAGAATTGAGTAATTCTATTTTTATATTAGAGTTTTGAACTGAACAAAACTTGAGACAAAGTAAAGCAGATGAACGCAATGTGAATGTAGTTTATTCCGCTCATCATCATCCTCATCCCTTGTATTTATGGCAAGTTTGCGTAGGATTTCTCTGTTTGTCTTTTCGCATTTAAAAAAAGTTCTTTCATACTAGCAGGTTATTTTTTTAAAATCATCCTGACCTTTAGTACCTAGGAGGTTATTTAAAAGGAACCACATGATGAAAGATTGTGGCTTTGGCAATATTTCTTATATGAAGAGGACAGGGCGTGGTTCAATAACGGTGAAGACAGAACTTTCTGGAGAATATTTTTCTCCTTTTTTTCTTTATCTAAGAAGAAAAGTCTTCATCCACTTTCGAATAAATATATAAACTTTCTGGCAACTAGGACATACCATTCTGGATGTGCAGAACTTTGTCAGCACACAAAGATTTCTCTCTATTGATAATATTGATGGTTTGGTATTTGTGTTGTGCTTCAGCTCTGCCTATGGCACTTCAGATGAGTGAAATGATACTTCTTAAAGGATGATTAGTCCCACGTAATACAATGGAAACTCAGTGTCAGTAAGAGATGGATCAGGTCTTCGCATTCTTTGAAGGGGAGAGGCAGAGACAGAAAGATCAAGATCCCTAAATACCAGCAGGCTTGCAGGAACCTCTTTCTCCTGGCTGGAGTTAGGGAAGACTAACATAGACCCACGTTTTCGGGAAGGGTGTCCACACTCGGGATATGTGTCAATGCTCGAAGAAGGGTGTGTTTCTTGGATTGCAACAAAATAAGCTGAGAGTGGCTGGCAGGCCGGTGAAGCCGGCGGGAAACCGGGCTATTCCCGTCTCCGGGAGGTAAAGAAGAGCAAGTTGGTTTTACGCCGCGTGGGTT